GGAATAGATAGACAAATACATCGATCGCAAAACCAATATGGATGGATAGATAGATAGATAGCCGTAATGAATGATGGTTTGAGTTTCGAGTTGCTTATTAGATAAATTGGTTGATACGTGGGTGTAAAAGGAAACAAGATTGACTGATCGGTTTTGGAGCTGAATGCTCAATTTTTATTCGTTGGTGTTTGTAAAAACCATCAAAGGATTAGGATTTAATCCGTAAGTTGTATAACATGAAATATGGGCAAAAATGCTTATTTCGAAGTTGCAAGTGTGGCTCAAACAATGTCAGATTGCTATAAAGTTTAGTCATCTACTTATCGGTGATGGGCTCAAGTGCCTCGGGTCTTTTTCCGAGGTTGGTGACCAAATCTAACTTAAGTAGGCCAAAAGAGAAACTAAACAGAGGGAAGCATAACATTATTGTGAATGAGGAGAGGGCGGGGCAAGGAAAACAATTTTTGCTGTAGATAGCAGTCTTGAAAACTTCTCACCTCATCCGGCTTGACTAAGTTGGCCTCCTCTGGGACTGTTTGGCCTAACAATTCAAGAAAAGTTTCTTTAGATCCGACCGCCTCTTCGGCATTGCCACCCAGCAAGGCTCTCAGCCGTAACTGGCGCAGGTTGGCAACACGTTGCTCCTGTAGATGAGAACTGGAAGCCAGTTGCCGGTTGCAATTCGGCTCGGGGTTTGGGATCTGAGGCGGAAGTGGAGACTTGGAGGTGGAAGATGAAGATGAAGATAATTTTAAAGAGGCCGAGTAGATGCTTTTTGCAGAGCGGGAATTGGAGGGAGCTGGAAAGATCCGAGCGTCGAAAGGAAAAAACATGGGTAGGTGAAATTCACACCGAGGGATCGAATGAATCTCCGGTCGAGAGTGCGATTCAATATTATTTGAGAAGGCTTCTTCAGGAATGGATCTAAGGAAAGAAATAATTAAAAGAAATAGCCTCTAAACTAAATAAGAAAAACTTAATGAAACTAATAGTTGATAAGAATTTTATATGGGATGTATTCGACCTATTTCGTTTAAGGTGATGAAGGACTGATAGTTGAATTTATCCACAATCATATGAGTAGAGCTGACGTTTCTATTGAATTCCACATAGCTTTGCTTTTCCAAAAGATGTTCTTAATCCGGCTGAAGTTGACTGCAGTTTCGGCCTCGGTCAGGTCTTATCAACACACCACGTGAGTCGAATCATGATAATGTAGCATGTAATCTCGAGACATTACCCATTGCACCACACTGTCCCGAGTGTCAAAGGGCAGATATGCATTTTAAGGGAGGCCAGGCATTTTCCAATATCGTATTCTTCGGTGAAATTGTGGATGATGCAAAGTTACATTTGCTATAACAATCGACTGC